CCCCAAAACCCCAAAACCCCAAAACCCCGTAGATTAATAATCATAATTTAATATTCAATTGATTTATTAATTTATTTAGATATTCTATATAATTTATTATACAAGGCTAATTTCATAATCTATCATCTCTTTGGGATGATTTTTTATTTATTGCTGCTTGTGACTGCTTTACTAACAGCAGGTTTCTATTATACAGCTTTTCCTGTACTTGTTGATGCCTATTTTAAGTTTGTTTGTTTAGCTTAGGTCATTTGCTTAGTATTATTTTAAACAATAATTTGTTTTTAAATTGGATTTTTACTCTAATTCACTACACTACTTGCCCTAGCCTAGCTTTTTACTTATCCGCTTTATAAAATATCTACCTTAGGACTTCTAAGCCTATAATATTCATTAAATAACTAGTCAAGAGCAATTTCACTTTTCTCCAAAATTTATAAGTTGTAACCACGGTCAATTGAAGTCTCAAGATTAATTTCAATGACAGGGCATTCAATTTTACCAAGAGCTTTATTGACAATTCTCTTAGCTAATCCAGTGGCTAGAGCTGTTCCAACAACAATCAAACAATCCATTTTTTCTTCCATAAACTTATGAACACTTTCTGATCTGTAATAAGTTTCTGAGTAACTTTCATCGAAGAACATGCAATGAGGTTTCATGTTTTTGCCACAACTTGAGCATTTTGGTACATGATTTGTTTTATCTTTAACTTAATCTAAAGTAGGAGCTTTATAAAACTATTACCCACAATCTTCCTCATCATTAAAGCAGTGCATATATTTGACGTTACCATGAATCTCATAAACAAAAGGAGTAAAAGCATAGTTAGATTCTCCTTATTTCTTTTCTTCTTAGTTTTTCATGAGTATTTTACTCTATTAAATCAACTAAGGATGATAGTTATCTATATTCTAGGTCACTAGAAAACTCTCAATATCATTTTACAAATGACAATATTCTTAAAATTTGAGTATAGCGTGATGTCCCTTATTGGGTTTGCATCTATCCTCGAGCTCTATGAAATCATAATGCCATTACCAATTAAGTTCTGGATTTTGGGTGAAAAATCTCTGAGTTAATATTACTTATGGGTCAGTTTCATCTCCATATGTCCTGGTCCAAAATCCATTATCTCCTCTAAAAGTAGGAATACCACTAGCAGCACTTAGTCCTGCTCCAGTCAATATAAGAATATTCTTTTTGCCAATCATGTGTTTTGCAGCATCCTTGGCGGTTATCACTTAAGGCTCGTGTGTATACTTTATATCAGGGTTGGCAATTCCAAACTGCTCAAGTAATTTCTGTCCAAATGCTTCATTCATTCTTCTAAAAGCATTTTGAAACTCCTGAAACTTTTTTTCTAGATCATCATAAGCACTTAAGCCCTTTGATTTGTAATATTCATCCTTATCATAATTATTTTCAGTACTAGTTGCTGCAGTAGTAGATGAATTAGTTTCTATAAGTTCTTCCTCTTTAGATTCTTAATGTGTCCTCTCCATAGTGTTATTTAATTAGACTCTATTTATAATTGCTTAAAGATAGCAATAGTAATTTTTTTTATATTAGTAAGTTTGAAATTCAAGATAACTATATCTTTTCGTCAGTCATTTATCACTTGGGGTTTTGGGGTTTTGGGG